AAGTCGCCGAGCCAACGCAAGTACTCAATAATTCTGAGGTCCCTTGAAATCATTATTATATATAAAGCAATAATTGAACAATGAACTAACTTCTGCTTTCCACAAGTGTAATTTTTTGTAGGTAGGACCAATAAATATGAATTAAATGCGCCAGAACATCTCGAATTTGCTTTGTGCTTATGGGATGATTTAAATTTTTTAAAAACATGAATAATGAGAATGTGGGTCGCAAGTGATATATAATAATTTGGCTGAAAACCATGCTTACGAGAACAATAAAGATAGAATTGCCTCTCGAGAAGAGAAAATTTCTCTTTTCAACTTCAAATATTTCAAAAAAGTCACTTTTCACCGCCTCAATATTTTAGGCATACTAATCACGCGACCTTCAGTAGAGTAAAATGTCTACCAAATCTCAGCGAATTCAGCCTTCGTTTGGACTTCCTCTTAAATAAGGGAATGGCCTCAATGACCCGCTAATTACATTCATGATTACGCAAAAAAAATTCTGCAGAGCTTAAAAAAACATTGCAGTTAATGAGTAAGATTATTTCAGTCGGACTCAAAATCATAGCCATGATTGAGACCTCAGTTGACATCGTTTCTAAGTATCGTTCGAAAATGTAAATGAAAACGTGATGTTTGCATTTCCTTAAAAACTAATATTGGGCGTTAAAAAAATATTGACATGTTATCAGAAAAATATTACGCAGTGAATGAGACGATAAATTTGCTGTCCTTAATTCAAATGAAAGTTCGGAAATCAATAGCAGAATTATGACCACAATGTCTGGAGAATTACGCATCTATTTATGGAATAGGTTTTGATAATCCAACAGATAATTAATTTATAGATTTGATAAAAAGTGGCACAGACAAAACGAAATTCATCAATAATTGCTATAGTTTTATTCGTAGTGTAAGGAAAATTTATTAAGCTTTATTAAAAAATAATAAAATTTATTAAGCTTTGTATAAAAAGGATCAAAATTTACTAAGCTTTACTTAAAAAAAAATTTTAAATTTATTAGGCTTTATTTAAGAAAGTATCCAAAATAATAAGCTTACACAAGAAAAGTTCGGCTGTCGTCAGTTAGAGGATTTGATGAATGAAGTTCATGAATGTTTTCCAAGCCTGACACAAACAGTGGAAGTTTAGATCAACGTATTACAACCATGCAATTAAACATCAAGAATGTGACCAGCAAACAATTATTTAAACAGAAATTCAATAGGAAACCACCAATAATTGAATACCTGAAGACGCGTCGGATTTTATTGGAAAGCTTAAGAGGCGACAAGGGCTACCGAGGCATCCGGGATATATATTATTCCCTGGAAATTCCATCATTATTCTTCTATAATTCGACGAGAAATTCTCCTTCGTGAATACACGGAGAACAAATTTTATGAATTAAATGTTAAATTGTTCTTTGTATTTGGTATAGATACAATAATAAAATGGATGATTTAGAAGAAACGTATTCTATCGAATGAAAATATAACTTAAGTCTATTGCACAAGACTCACCAGTCAACTGCAGAAGTTCACAGCAACGGTCCATTATCACTAGCAGAACGGCTGCACTAAATATTGAAACTGATCTCAAGATCTCATGAGTAAACTCAAGATTTAGAGAAAAAGTAAACTAATGCATTCAAAGCAAAAAAATTATTATTTTACCCTGCAAACTACTCTATGATGAGAAGTACATTACTTGGCTTAATTTTTTGACTTGACCGAAAATTATTCCGAAGTATCAACCGTGCTGAGTAGCTCGGTAGCCAATTATTTATCAAGAAGTCAACTGAAGTCATAATATTGCGGGTTCAATAAATAATATAAAAGTAAATGTTAAATTAGCGAAGCAAGAGATACTGAAACACTCGGGAAGTTCACCGTAGAGTTTAGGGGAAATGAATCTTTTACGGAGCCGCTCAGCGCAGGTGCGTGTGGTAGATTTCAAAGCTCTGCAAGTACTGATCCCTTAACATTTGATAACAAAGAAAAATAAAACAATTACTAAAAGAAATGTGTCGATATAAATGCGCATATTGACTCAAATAAATGCAATCTTACAAAAAAAAAATGAAGGACGAAAGATGAAACGAAAAAACGAGCGATTTAATATCAGCCAAGAGCGGAAACAAATCAACAACCTACTGCTTTGCAGCTCTGCAGAGCACTGAGCTTCGACAGCCTGTGTCCGGCTGTTTATATAGGAGCACACCTCAGCCCCAGCCTCAGTGGGGCTGCAGCTCCTCAAAGAGGAGTGTTGATCTCTGCTCTGTGATGCAACCCCCCCTCCTCCCCCTTCTCTCGGGCATCTCTGAGCCCCACAAATACCCACATCCTGCTGCACCCCAAACATTTCCCGTCAAAAATAACGGAAAAATATCTAAGGAAAAGCGAAATTAAAATAAAGATTGCGGCACAGTTAACTATAAAGAAAATAACTTGAATGGGAGAGCAGTAAGTCCTCATATTTTAATGGCAATTAAGAAAAATAAATGCCACGAAAATATAAAAACAAAGAGGCTCTTTCACAGGAAAATAAAACCGGGTGAATATCAATTAATGTGACTTAATCTTAACCCGAGTAAGTTAGTGACTGATAAGTTCTCGGCTTTGCCCGAGAACTTATGATATGTTCTTATATAAATTATATGAACAAAGTTCACGGAACCGATGATGGGGAAGAAGCTAATTTATTGTGTGCATTATATGATCTTTTGGACACATTTAGCACCATCATGAAAATTAGATAAATTTAATTTACGGATTCATGTTGAAGTGAAAATAATTAAAGTCGTACCAATGCGAAAATGGGGCGCACTGAAAAAAATATATACCTGAATAAAATCTCGAACGCACGCAACCAACCATTGGGACCATATATATTTTATTATAATCATTCAATACAAAAAAGACATAGATGAATGAAATAATAATAATTATACTATATTATTATCTATACTATATAATAATATACTCGTAATATACCTTCAAATACGAAACTATTACATCATCTATATTTCTATATTATTCAAATATAGAAACTATTACATCTTAACATAGAGCCTTGTAGAAGATTAATTGCCGGCCGTAATGATTTATAATGATTTTTAATTGTTTATAGTAAATGGAACGCACGATGATTATCAGCTCATTAGTTAAGATAAATGATTAATGCAGGAGTGGCTCCAGATGACCGCTGCACCATGGAGCTCTACCCTCCACACTCATCTGCTCCATGTTCCGCTTTTATATATTATTCCTCTTTCCTAGCCACTCCTCCTTACAATACTCACAATTTTGAGCTACAACTCACTCCACCACTCCTCATATCCTCTCGCCTCTCCCTCTTCCATTGCCTGCGTTCACGAAGCAGCGAGCAGAACAGAATTGAACGCTACGTGAACGCTACCCAGTGCTCGATGCTAGCATAGCATAGCATAGCATAGCATAGCATAGCATAGCATAGCAATGCATGGCGTAGCATAGCATAGCATAGCATAGCATAGTATAGCATAGCATAGCATATATCATAGCATAGCATAGCATAGCATAGCATAGCATATCATATATCATATATCATAGCATAGCATAGCATAGTATAGCATAGTATAGCATAGCATAGTAATTTCAGCGAGCGTCATAGCTTGTTGCGGTTTCGAACTCGCAACCCACTGCTCCGATTTTTCTTTGCATAGCCGCTCGGCCTCCTCACCGATTTTGACCAAAATTGTACCAGGTAGCTGGGATCGAACCCGCACCTCTCTGCTGCAAACCTCGGTTTGCTGAACTTAACCCTCTGGGTCACCATTAGCGCTTTGAACATCTAATAAATCTTTAGTAATTCTTTCTAACAATTTAATAATAATACTAATTATTCTTTCTAATAATACGTACCAACTTAAACCTGAATAATACCACATAATACTCAATAGTAACACCAAATAACCTTTAATAATATAAATAATTACTAAATTGCACCTAGTAATATTTGAACATCTAATTCGAATTTCTAGTGCTCCCCCGCCACACTCGTGTGGTGGTAAGGTTAGTGAGTCTTGGGCTCATGTGGTTCGTGGCTACAATAATGAGTGTAGCCAAGCTTGAAAGTTAGCAACTAAATCGCAATCGACCGAGGTTAATTTTTTATTAACGTAACCTACCTTTCAGCCCCAGAGAACACGACTGATTGACTCTAATTGAAATTACGTTATAATATAATTGTCCATATTTCGTATATCGCGAATGGCTGGCAACCTAATAGAATTAGCATTTAGGCACAGAATTTTCAGCTGCTAACTCAAGTTTTTTCACCCGCGTTTGATCGAGACAGGGAGGAGTGTGCTGAGTAAACATCGTGATACTCACGTTTGTTGTGAGATTCGTTCAAAAAACATTTGTTCCTTGGAAGACTCACGGTTAACGATTTTAAAACTAAAATCAGGTTTGTTAAAAAAATTCATGGCGAGATCAAGGGCCTCGAATCGCAGAAGCCTTTCGAATGTTGCATTATAAAGCTGCAAGGTTTGAAAATTTATGCGTAGAGTCTGTGTTTGCTTGCAATTCAGAAGATTGAAAGAAAATACATTGGATAAGCGACGGCTGCATTGGTAATATGAGTGATAATGTTCGGCTCACAAAAAGAGTGAAATAAAATTTTCAAAAATAACGAATACACAAGAAAAACAATACAGGTTGATTGCTACTCTAATTAGTTAACCATTATATAAATGACTGATTATACTTATAATAGGAGATGTCGCTTGTTCAGGCTATTAGGTTGGTACAGCGCCAGCTGTTCTATTCTGGCATCACTTAATTGCCTGATTTAAAATACTGCGCGCTCGCCTAAAAAATTCGATGCAGACTTGTGAAACCAAACGTTGTACCGTATCTAAGATTACATTTTTGTATAAAAGGAACTTTTGTACTTCATGGAGGAAGTTTGTACAAATTTTAAATCAAAATTGAAGAAGCTAACTGACCTGCGACGACGCGACGCCAGCGCGGGTGATGAGAACGTTCCAGTCACGCTGGATACTCGGCGCCAGCTCCTCTGTGGCGCGGGGAGTAGATATCATTTATATTTATAATAATAGATTATTATGTGATAATAGATATAGAATATATATAAATATAGATCAATGATATAAATATTTGAACTGTAAAATATACACACGACCGATGAATTATACTTGGGTAAATTGTCCTTTTTTTGAAAGGAGTCTTACTGAAATTCTCAGAAATGAACACGTCGTGAATACTGGGCAAAATTTTCTAGATGCGACTGATTTTCTAGATTTGATGGAAAGAAGGAATGAATCTAGCCCCATAGCTACCTCATAGATGAATAATATCACATTTGCGTTGTCTAATAAGTTTAAAAGAGGTCTCAATTCCTCATAGAACTGATTGCTGCAGCACACGATCGTTGAAAGCATGATTTGAAAGCATGATTATATTACTGATGAAGCCTAATCAATAGTATCAGGAAAAGTAATGGGTCATGGTGTCCAAATGGTGACACATTTTCAGTCCGTAGCACTGATAGGCCCCCTTTTGGCAGGCCGAACTTGGTGAGGATGACCGACATGAGGGTAAAAAAGTGTATCGCTTTTTGGAAAAATCTCACTCAAAAGATGCTAGTTTGTAGGCTCTCATGAATCTGAGTAAAATCGTGCCCGGAAAAGATCGATACGAACAAGAAAATTAAACATTAGCTGTTTGAAATGCAGCTTATGAGTATTCATAAACAGTATTCGTCTAGGAAGACGTTTAATTATTTATATAGACAAACTCACTGGCTTTGTCAGCAACGTCCTGTTCGCTGATGCCCTTGAGGTTGTCGCGCAGAGTGAAGAGCATGCGGTTGTCCTCCACTCTGCACCCAACAAAAATAATTGGATCAAATGGTCGCTACTGCTTGGATCACATGGTCGGTTTTTACCGCTTTAAAGTGAATACATTCCTAGATTTGCGAGAACATTCAAGTTGAATTTCAGGAGTTATGAATGCTAATACCAATTTAGAAACGGCTGAACTGATAGTCGTGAAATTTTAGCAAACTTTGCGTCAGTTTCTTATCCACAGCACGTGCAGAGAGCGGACGTAGCACTGATACGCCCTTTTACTGGGCCAAACTAGATCAGCATGGCCCATACAAGGGCTGAAGTGCATCGATATTGGGACAAATTTATCTAATTTCTCTGGGTGCGAGCAAAAAAATAATTTTATGAATTGCTAAAGAATTATTATGGTAAAATGAAAGGAATTCAATGAAATAAAAAATTATTCAAAGTGGGTAAACTACCACTTTCATCACATGCTAAATATTAATGAGGGTATCCATCTTAGCACACTTGATGAAAAATGTTAAGTAATAATACATTATTAAACATTTAATTAAGAATTGAATTACTAATTTAGGTTAGTGACCTGAGGTCCTGGATGTCGGCGCGCGAGAGGCCGGCGTTGTGAAGGATCAGACTCGCCAGGTCGCTCGCCTCGCCCAGACTGGAGAAGCTGCGCAGCCACACAAAATCATCGTTATCGATAGTTGATGATCGTTGTCGATAGTTCGTGATCCTTATCGGTAATTTATAATCATTATGGGTAGTTTATGATCGTTGTCGATAGATGATGATTGTTGTCGAGAGCTCGTGATCCTTATCGGTAATTTATGATCCTTATTCGGTAGTTTATGGTCGTTATCGATAGTTGATGATCGTTATCAACAGTTTGTGATCCTTATCGGTAATTTATAATCATTATGGGTAGTTTATGATCGTTGTCGATAGTTGATTATCGTTGTCGATAGTTTGTGATCCTTATCATTATGGGTAGTTTATGATCGTTGTCGATAGTTGATTATCGTTGTCGATAGTTTGTGATCCTTATCGGTAATTTATAATCATTATGGGTAGTTGATGATCGTTGTCGATAGTTGATGATCGTTGTCGATTGTTTGTGATCCTTATCGGTAATTTATAATCATTATGGGTAATTTATGATCGTTATCGACAATTGATGACCATTTTTTCATAGTTATTGACTGACTTGCATGTAGTAAATTGCTTAGTGCATAAATAGAATTCTCAATGAATAACTGTTGAAGATCGTTCAGAAAAACAAGTCAATTATGATTCATTGTCAAGAGTAAAATGACTCTAATTGGTGGTCCTAAATGAAAATGGGCGATTTATATATCGAGTATAAATTTGATTTTAACCACACGACCTCAGTCAACCACACGATTTAACCACGCGACTGCTATTTTCAACAGAGTTTTACATTAATGAAATGTTATGATAAAACATTCCAGTGTATATAGACATCCAGTTTTATTCACATTGAAAGACGTGACATTCTATGGGTAAATCTAACAAGAGCTTCGCTGCACACGCGTTCTGAGCCTCAATTGCTGTGGAACGTTGCAAGGACAACTTCGAGCTTTACATGGTCTTCAAAAATGAACTATACTCAGAAAAATGAGTGGGTAACTTGTAATGACACATTTTGTGCAGTAGCAACGTTATATCGGACCAAACAGTGTCAGGATGTTCAGATCTCAATGTCTTGAGGTCTTAAGAATGACCTACACAAGGGGAAAAAAGCATATGTATTTGGACATAGCCCCACTCATTTATCTGGGTGTAGAAGGCATTAAATGGTCAAAGTTTTCCGGTATAGTCTGGTCATTAGAGTGAGTAAGCTTCTTACCGTGTCACGTATTTCTTTTATGAGTTTTTTGAAGGTATGGAAAATATCGAGCATTCTTTAGAATTAAGAATTTGTATGATTCTGCCAATGTAAATTAACGAGTAAAAAGGGAATTGAAGCAATAAGAGATTCTCACTGGAATTTGGCATCGTGTGAGTTTTCAATATTTGCTTATTGCTTGTCATATTTCTCACTGTGGCTTCATAAACAGCTTCACATTCTATACGTAGTTCTTCATAAGGTTTGTACGATTAGAAATATAAATATTCAAGCATATTAAGTCTGCTTGATTTCTTCACTTTTTTATGCTCAGTACTTTTTTCAGTACGTAATAGCGCTCAATATGCGTGTATAAAACACCAGCTCCATGGTAACCGCGGCTTTACATCATCGCGGGTTTTCAAGAAATATTAATCAGGCTTTCATGCAATAAAGAAAGGCATTCAATGTTAATGAAAAGAATCATTCGCGTATCTTCACTGCTTCCCGTTTTTTGAGGAAGTTGATTGACAGAATTAAACAGTCCGTGGAGCTTGACCGGCATTAAGAGTGCAGGATGGGTTTGTAAACGCTTGAAACAATGAAAACTTATCAAGCGATTACAATGTAAATAATCAAACAATTTCCCATAGCGAATTACACCTACAGCGGCCGAGATCCGGAACGTAACACCCAATATAGGCGAAGGATTTTAATATTGCATACTGTGCACCTCATGTGCATTATGCACCTCATGTGCATTATGCCCCTCATGTGCATTATGACCCTCATGTGCATTATGCCCCTCATGTGCATTATGCACCTCATGTGCATTATGCACCTCATGTGCATTATGCACCTCATGTGCATTATGCACCTCATGTGCATTATGCCCCTCATGTGCATTATGACCCTCATGTGCATTATGCACCTCATTACATTATGCACCTCATGTACATTATGCACCTCATGTACATTATGCACCTCATGTACATTATGCACCTCATGTGCATTATGCACCTCATGTACATTCTGCGCCTCATATGCATTATGCACCTCATATGCATTATGCACCTCATGCATACTACGCACCTCATGTTGACGTCAACATAGACATAAGTAGGGGAAGGTGGAGGCAGGGGTGGGGCATGGGTGGGTTCTTCCCCCCCAGTGAGGTTGGATTTGTTCTTGTCCTTGTTGAGGTTCACGCGGCCTGGATGCATCCCCATGGGGCGGTTCATCATCATCTGGAAACCCAAACAAAATTTGTTAACAATTTTTTTGTGCAATCAAATTTTATCATGAAACTCATCCAACGTAAAACATTTGTATCAAGTGATGCCCGATGAATGAGCCATAAAGCATGTATAGGGTCTCGGACTTAGCAATTGTTGAACTTTCGAATATTTGCTCTGGCATAAGAAACTTGTTCTTCGTCTTTTAAAATTAGGGTGTTATATAAAACAAAGACTCAAGCAAAAAGAAATTAGGTAGACATAAAAAACGGAAATTTCTTCATTTATATTGTAGGTTAATTTGTTAAGCTTATAGCCACAAATCGGTCATAGGCCCACCTTAGCGTGGTGCTGTTTCGCTTGCCCCTTGCCGACATCATCAACGACCATCTCCTCGGTCAGTAGCAAGTCTGGGGGCAGAAGCAATGAAACTCATCACAGGGGCAAAAATATCATCACTGAGCAGGATTTCCTATCATACTCGTAGGATGCTTAACCTGACAAATTCAAGCAAATCTACGTAACTTGGAGTAAATTCAGAGAAGACGCGGGCCACGAAGACATTTTCAGGAAAATGCAAAATCAAAAACGATTAATCCAGCGAAGACGAGCGCGTGAACGCGATTGGGACAGTAAACAAATATGGGAGATAAATTGAACAGGGGTTGAATAAAATTTATTTACTATCTATTGGTTGAGCCAGTATCTCGAGACTATGAGTAAGTGAACTAGTCGCGTGTGAAATGATTAATTGAACTAGTCGCGTGTGAAATGATTAATTAAACTAGTCGCGTGTGAAATGATTAATTAAACTAGTCGCGTGTGAAATGATTAATTGAACTAGTCGCGTGTGAAATGATTAATTGAACCACTCGCGTGTGAAATGATTAATTGAACTAGTCGCGCGTGCAATGATTAATTGAACTAGTCGCGTGTGAAATGTTCAATTGAATATGTTGAGAGTGGTAAGGTTCAATTTATTCTCCTCAGAACAAAACAGAGAAATATCACGTTTTCAACGTGCCGCGTCAGTTCTGGTGAAATGGAAGCGTTTCAACTAGTGAATAGTGAAATGATAAAAGCAGTGAAAATCTCGTTGTCGACGTTTCATCCCAAGGACTCGAGATGGTGAAACTTTGCTTATAGCCTTTTTGTTTGTTTATCTCAGCGCCAATTAGTGGTAAAGGTGAGATGTTTTTCCTGCTTATATCAAAGGATGAGTGATTCATGGCATGCAATGTTAAGCCCGCATGCCACGAGAATTTGAAAATAACAGTGAATTCATCGAATTTAATTTCATACGAACCACCGAATTTTTGTGATTCGGTGGTTCAATATTCTCAGTTTGTTTTAACTAAGATACATCGTTCAATTTGATAATATCAAGCATTAATTTTTTAATATTAAGCAAGCGGTGCAGTATGAAATTAACTGTTAATAACACCTCTTTAATTGGATATTGTTTTCGTCACGCAACAATGGCAGTTTTTATGCATCTCCATCATTGGCCAAACATGAAGCTGCACTGCGGGTCATCGCACTCCTCCAGTCCGCAAAAATTGTTCAAGATTTTCTTATTTTGCGCGGCAAGTTTCCTTGGCAACTCCGATTCGACGGACGTGTTTGTGAACGAAAGCCCGCGATATTACTCAGGCTACGGCAGCCTGCTTCATAAATGCTACGGATATATTTTTATTAAGGGAACCCATGCCAGCCGTACAGTATGCAGCACTGACGTAAAGCTGTTATTATGATGAAATTATATACTCTAACGTAATGTAATGTACATTTTGCGTAAGAAAGAATGAAGTTATTTTAATAGATAAAACAGCAGTTCTAGACTGCACCAAGCAGTCTAGATATATATCCAAGCAGCTTCACGATATCACTGGTTTGAGTTCGGACTTGAAAACGTTGTTTATGTTCATTTTAAAGAACTTTGAAGTACATTCTTTTCTCTTAAAATGCCTTCGACAGTTACAACTTCCACTCAAAGTCATGATCATGCCACGTGACTTGGATTGTGGCAACGACTTACAACTTCCACTCAAAGTCATGATCATGCCACGTGACTTGGATTGTGGCAACGACAGGCTCATGCTACGTGGCTTGGATTGTGGCAACGACAAGTTCGTGCCACGTGGCTTTGATTGTGGCAACGACAAGCTCATGCCACGTGGCTTGGATTGTGGCAAATTCAGGCCCATGTTAAGCCCTCCAATTTTGTTATCAAATGCCGCTCAAACCCCAAATAGCTCAAACCCCCTAACCCCGACCGCACTAACAGCAGAAATACAGTAATACGGGCGCTTGATATAATGGCAGTAGGGGCTGTAATTTCAGCAGTGGCAGTCAGTAGTGGTAGAAATATAAGCTGTAGTGGTAAAAGACCACAGCTGTAAAGGCGGCCGCGGTAATGGCGGCAGCAGTAGGGGAAGCAACAGAATTGCGGTTGTACATCTAATGGTAGCAAAGGTAGTAATGGCAGCATAGACAATAATGACTGCCGACAGTACGGACAAGGATGGCAGCGGCAACAGTAACGGCGGTAGCGGTACTAACGGCAGAAGTAATGGCAGCAGAGTTAGAATGATTGTAGCAGTAATGGCAACAGAGTTACAATAATGGCAGCAGTGATGGTAACAGAGTCAGTAATGGCAGGAATGACAGCGGCCGCGATAATGGCTGTTGCTCCTATTCAGCTCAACCAATAGGGCAATTTGAGATGGGAATTAGAGGAGTTCGTTCCTATGATGACGACTTCAATGGCTTGTTTACCCGCCACTTTGCTTCATCACGTCATCTTGTTCAGCGGCCTCCCTCATCACAAGAGCAACGCATCCTTCGTTTGAGGTCTAGGCATGTAAATTGTTCAAGTCCTTCTCAATGAAAGACTAGGCAGGAATTCATGAAATCAAGGCTTGAAAATATATAGTGAATTTGCATGAACTTCTGCCATTTCATTCGGCATGCATCTGAGAACAAGATACATCGTTGCGGTAGGGAAGGTTTCTAGTTGCCTGCACCGCGGGAGCTCCATACACGAGATTGCTACATTGTATATGCACGAGAAGTGGTGGTTGTTTTAATACAGTAAATGTAGCATGATCATCAACACGTACGTCAATTTACCTGGAAAATCGTTGATCAAATAATTGTTACTAGGAAATGATTATCACGCAATTACAGCGGGTAGTGCTGACTGCGTTATGAGCGACCAACGCAAAAAGAATTTCGAAAACAATAAGCTGTTCGGCTCAGGGCAGAGTTTAATATAGAACTAATGAATTATTTATCACTTATTACACAGCAATGCTCTCGCATGTATTCCGTGAAACATGAATGAATATGCATTGAAATTGCATGAGCAGGAGAACCATGAGTAAAACTCTCCATCAAAAACAAATTCTACCAACACCGTTTTTCAAATGCTCGTACGTAAATAAAGATTTGATGCATTTGTTTGGATTCAAGATGTAATTGTTTTAATAATAACGAAGCATCATTAATTAACTGATGCAGAAGCCTGTCATAATCGTAATCATTTCCGTAATTGTCAGTGCAGAATTGGCCGACCCGACGATGTGAATACCATCCAGGAAGCATCGTTTGGATTGAAAGCTGATCGGGATCAGTAGGTTAAGTCTGCTAACCTTAAACTCTATTAGCGAGCGATGCTTCATTCAAGCTTTGTTGTAACAAGAGAAGACAATCACGAGGAAAACATTAAAAATTTTTGATGATCGATCATGTTTCTTGGGTGTCTCAGAAATAGCAAAAAATGACGCATGAGTGAAAAAAATTTAGGGGGACCTCTTTTTTTTCGCAGCGAATTGGATGACCTTAATTAGCATTACAGAGTAGTAGAAATACAGTAATAATAAATACAGTTAATTAATGTAATAAAACTTAATATAGTTAAAGTCTTGCAGCACATTTATGGTGTTCAATAATGCTGACCATAAATAAATATTATATCAGTTGCGTGTATAATGTATTCGCGTTTTTTATAAAAATCTAATACATAATTCCCCGTTAAAAACTTATAAATAGTCCATAATTATGTTGGAACATTCAAAAGCATTCATAGATTATTAACTTGGTAGCAAATAAAATTAAATATAAATCATATTTATTTTTAATATATCAGGCCAAAGACAAGCGGTGGAGGATTTTACCACAAATTTTCAAACATGGAAATAACTCGCGAACATCTACAGAAATTATTTCAAGAGAAAGACTTAAATATCTACACATTATATAGAATACATTGGCATAAGAATTTCACACAGATATGTTGTACGATTTGGTTACTGGTTTGCATGTGCTAAGACGTGTCGTGTGTAAGTAAAATCTTAACGTTACATTAATTCACGGAAATACTTGCAACAAAGGTTATTAACTTTGCGAATTTTAGGAAGATTCGCTAAATCTACAGATGACTGGGCACAAGTATGAGGCCCTCACCAGGGAGCACATGACTGGGCACAAGCATGATGGCCTCACCAGGGAGCACATGACTGGGCACAAGAATGAGGGCCTCACCAGGGAGCACATGACTGGGCACAAGTATGAGGGCCTCACCAGGGAGCACATGACTGGGCACAAGTATGAGGGCCTCACCAGGAAGCATGCGGGGCCCTGCGGTGAGGCGCTGCATCTTGGGCCCGGGGTGCAGGGAGCTGCCCTCGAGGCCCTGCTTGCGGAGCAGCTCTGAGAAGTGGGCCTGGTAGGCCTCATAGTCTGGGGCCCGGGGGATCTGGTGGGGGATAATGATAATTCATCTCATCATTGTGATCATTCATCATCAATCATGCCATCTGTTGTGCCAGTCTCGTGACTAATATCAATAATTTTTCATTATCTGGTGCTCATTTCCACGTCAACCATCGATGATTAGTAGCCGTTTCATTACTTCATTGTTCAGTTCGGAAATAAATGTTTCCTATGAAATGTATTAGTTATTAGGTAAGTATAAAATTCAGAACGACTATAGCATTAAACTGATCATTACAAATAAGTGCTGAAACTAACTTCCTAAAGTTCAAAGTTTCACTCCCCATTTTTACACGTATTGCTACATCTATCAGAAGTCAATAATTTTCATTTAGAATTGAATATGACATTATTCTTACGGATAATAAAAATAAATTTGAATTAACACGAGCTTATCGTGACTCACCATGCCACCACGACCAGTGGCAAGCCCGATGTCAATCTCGTTGCCATTTGCATCACGGTACCGCGTCTTCTCCCCTCCTTTGTCATCCCCAGAAGCGTTGCCAGGGTCCCCTTCAACATCTGAACCCCCAACAGCATCCACATCTTCCACATCATAATAGTGGTAGGGGTCATAGAACTGAGGGTACTGTGAGTAGTCAGGATAGTGCACTCCGTAATTAGCGACATGTTCAGCGTCGTAATTGTGAGCGTATGCTTTAGGATCGTACAACAAGGGAGCATAGTCGTCGAAGCCGTAGCGGTTGGTGCTGTAGTGCGGACCTGGCTTCTTGACATCCAACCGCTCCGGTCGCTCGAAGTTGTTGGGGAGCGGCTTGCCGGCTGCGCTCATTACGGTCCCGAACTCGGAGTCTGAGTCGGGGGAAGACGTGAAGTTAATTGACAAGTGCATTGATAGTAATTAGTTATAAAATGCATTAATTGGATGAATAAAATGAGAAGTGAATTAAATGAATACTGGAGAAAATTAATCCTGTTTATTGCCTGAGAATGAAAAAAATGTTGGTTTTACTCTGGTTACAAGCCATTGGAGTGCGAAACATTTCCAGTAAATACTGGAACTGTGTCGAGTGTATGTCATCGCGAGTTTGTTGGATAAGAATAGCATTAATTCACATCAATGAATGAATATTTTACGCATCTTATATCGTAGTAAAATGGATTATATCATGACTATGATCCATACGAGCAATGGCAGGTGTGTAAATCTATTAATTTACGATTTTTCATTTCTATTTCACGAAAATTTCTTAGAAGCTTCCCCGCCCCACGTTCCTCCGATCAAAGAATTCCTTTGATTCAATGCAATCGTCGGAAGCTCGCAGCTGACGCTTCGTTAGGGCACTCGTCTTTTGTTTCAGTTCAATGAGAAGACAAAAACCGGACCTGACATTCAAGATGTCGTTCTGTTTGTTATGATATCCAAGTTACTTAACGTTGCCTGAAAAATATCCTGCTTTGTAACTTATATGCAACCATATTTTATGCTAGTCTATGAAATTGAGATAGCGTAGTAAAAGATTTGAATTAAAATGTTCACAGGAAATCGCCAGTATGTCATGTTTAACGGGTTGATGTATAAATGTGACGAATTTTTCAGAAAAGAGAAAAGAAAAGAGAAAAATTTCATCGGCTTCGGAGTACATAAGGCGGTATTGTCTCACTGTGATCCGCAGCAAAAACTTCGGTTCCAGATGTGACATGATTGCTCATGTTGCAGTAACATGATTAAGTTAGTCCAGTATAAAAATAGCATGACCGATATGATTGTGCTGTAGTTCTATGACTTAGCTAGCATTTACAAAATAGAAATGATCGACATCTTTGCGTTGAAGTATCATCATAAGTAATGATGGTCGGCACAAATAGACGTAACCGACATTACTGAATTTCATAGAGTACCACGTCAACAAATGGATAAAACAATACAAGGTTCATGACAACTCGATGAATTATCAAGAATTATAAAATTTACAGAAGACTGGACAAGTGTAGCGGTTCTATGACTCAGCTAGGCCTACAAGCCAGGCATAGTGTCCATCATCTCACGCTCCGGCGACCCGCAGGAATGTTCCGTAAATTGAGCTGCGCTCGGACCAGCGTTTGCGGGCTTTCCTGTGTTGTATTCAACTCCCTTACACCAGATAGCAACCCCAAGACTTAACCGATTACAAATTTACCCGAACAAATGAAGGTGTTCCACTCCGCTAAAATACTAACACATATTTTGAATTTACACAAAATTGGTTCCAAGCATCAGATCTATGAATAGATATACTCAAGCTATTGTAGAATCACGTTGATGAAATTTCATTCTTAATGTCACCCCTATTGAAAAAATTGCTCTAATTTTATATCATATTAATGAATATATGTATAGTATTAATTTTCGCCATACCTGCCATCTCCTCGTCTTTCTTGACGAAGCCAGAGGCCTCAGAGGCACCAGCTGCGTCCATGGGGGTCGCATAGTCGTAGTTGAAGTCGAAGTAGGCGTCCTCTGGGCGGTAGAAGTGAGGGTACCGCATCTGGGACCCGAAACTGGGACAAACATGCATATTGTTTACTTGAAAGTACCAAATTAAGGGTAATATGAATAGAATTATTCATGAGTATTTGCTGCCTCCATGTAAACTTTAATTATTCATTTATATTCATTGCTGTCTTGTTTTTAGTCAAATTGATGTATCTTAAATTCATTACCGTACACAGCAATGAGCAAATAAGAAAACAGGCCGCACAGGCTTCTTCGAGTTAGCTCAATCAGAATAAAAATATCCACTTATTCAAGATAAGTAAAGTTCTATATACATTTTTATGCCTAATAAGTTAAGAAAGGAGGGACAACATTTTTCTATGGACTGTGTAATTGATAAATCGTATGGATATTAAAGAAAAATGAGCTCACATTTTATACAAGCAGAGAATACTAGCTCTTGTGGACCATTTGCGAAATGACATTCTATGAATAATTGAGGGAAATTTTGATCTTCACAAAATGAACAATATTGGAGCAAAGATAATCATGACTATCTCAGTTTATTGATATAAATCTNACTCTCGTGCTGTGCGTTGTCCAAACTTTTATTATATTAATGCAAGCACCGAATTCTCACATAATTATCTAATGATTCAAGTCAAATAGGAATTCGTATACAAGAAACGAGAACATATTCGGAATCTGAGGTAAGTCGATTTGCTTACTGGTGGATTGGTTCTAGATATATTTACACACAAAATCATATTCATTTAAATAAGGCTATATCACCGATAATTTATTTACAGTTTCATATAATGATGGCAGCCGTACATTCGTCATTGTTTAAAAACGACACGACGCAAGCTCTAATGTGTTATGCATAAAGAAGCTTTTCCCCTTAGCGGTTAAATACAGGGTTTTAGTACGACTATTTTCAAAAAGAAACGTCTACCTGATGAAGCTGTATCTACTGTATTATTTCCAATAGAAACATCTACCGGATGAAGCTGCGTCTGCGTTAATATTTCCAATAGGAACATCTACCGGATGAAGCTGCGTCTGCGGTATTATTTCAAAGTCTACCGGATGAAGATTTGTCTACCGTAGACAACTGGATGCGCTAAGCGAATAACATCGACCGCAACTCTGTGTTTCCCGAGCAACAGGAAGCGCTTCCCTCGCATCACCGGCGGCAAATTCTCCCGGATCAATACTGAGGACACAACTCCTGGCGGCGACTGTACCCTCTAGCAGTCACGCGTGTACCCAGACTCGTTCAAAGGAATAAGTATTGCAGAATCTTCGAGTATTTTACCATTGAAAAATTTGCTGAGACTTAAAAGGAGTCGGGCGTGAGTACTAATGATTTCTATGGTAATGGGATTGTGATTAGAACGTCAAGCTGTAATTAATTGAATGATTGACAATGAAATTCATTGAACGATTGAATCACAGTGTAAAGCGAATATTCAGATGATTGATCATATTACTTTTAAAACATCTTACACTACAGGTAAATGATGTTATTCCAAATATAGAATTTTATTTCTTGGCTCTGAGCTGTTCAGTCTTGTGCGAATGGGAAACTTTAGAAAAAAATAATAAGTAGGTTATATATTTCATCGAGGAAACATATAAGAGTAAGAGTATATCAGTGAGACGAAGGCATAACTTGTCTCTTGAATTTAGTACGATGTCCGTATACGAATACGTATACGTCCGTATACGTACTCTTGAATTTAGTACGATGTCCGTAGTATAAAATAACCGGGTATATAAAGCTCCCAAGATGAGCGATTAGTATTATTAGGAAAATGGGTAATAATTCGTAAATTCTTTGATCAGAAAGAGAAGCGCAAATAAAATTTGCTGTTCAAAAAATTACGCAGAATTGCATGCACAGGGGTACGGGTGTGGGAGGTTAATTACATTCGTGGAACTGCGTTCAATACCTGAAATATTCGAGCAAATCGTACGTTTCAAATAGAAAAGCTGTGTGATAGTAAACGCGAGTATAATTATTTCAGTTGCAGGGTTAGTGAGGTTTTAAAACTGTACAAAAAGAAACGGCAGTCAGAATATATCGAAGTTACTGGCAATGGATTTCGGGGGCTTCAAATCACTCCACTCAGGTATAGCGTGCATGGTGACCAGGAGAAATGGTGCTCAAAAACTTGATCAAAATACAAATACCGAACAAATATATTTGTACAAAAATTAATGAAACCAGTGAATAGTCATTAAATATTTCAGATTGTCGGAGATTTTTACAGTTGTCTTTCTGTGATGTGATTTGAATAAGTCATCATATAGAATATAGAAAACTTATTATTGGAGTAAATGAGCATATCTTGTCCCGGCATCAGAATAAAAATATTTACCAAGTGATTTTTATTAGTCAGCTGGAACTGGCAATGGCGTTCACTCGTCTACATTTGATAAAAAGAAGTATAATAAGCTGATCTCGCCTACCATTGATTAAAAATAACGATGGGTAAAGCATGCCCATCTTTGCTAGGCCGGAATACCCCACGCCTTTGTTGTTTTAATTAGAATTATATCACCTGTTTTTTTATAAACCAAGTAACACTCGGGACTACATACAATTTCCTTTATCGAATTTTTAGCTTTGCAATCTTTCAAGAGAGCAACCGGTGTATGAGTGTAAAATTTACAACAGATCTTTGACAATTTGCGTGTGTCAAACTTTCCTTCTTATTTAACCTTTAGTAGCATGAAAGGAGAATACTTCCTAAGTACACGTACTAAGTTCTAGTCTCACCCGTCCTTGTCCGTGTCGTAGTGGTTATCTTCTAAGGGCACCGGAGTATCACCAAACTGACTGTCGATGGAGTTCCTGGTGATATGACCACCAAACTTTGTCAATCTGCTTACGATAGCCGTGACAGTGGTCGAGAGTTTAGGTAGAACTATGTTAAAACCAGCGGTGCCTTACGTTACAATATCCTTTAAAATAAATATGAATTGTTGAATTAGAACGAGAGAAAAATGACAGTAACGTAGCGGCCAGTCCCGAAGCGCGAACGTGAATATGATTCTAATCGTGGATTTAGATTCCAATTATTGGTGGGTGAACTGTTTTTTCGATTAATTAATTTTTCCGATTACTTTAAGATCCTTATTGGACTTTGTGCCTCATTCAATTTTATTGGATCTTTCAAAATTTTTAATGAACCAGGGAAATCATATATTTTATTCAGATGGCAGCACCGCTAGAATTTTTAACTATAGTTACGTACCGGTTGGGAGACTCGGATGTTTATCTATGGTAGCAAAGCAGTTCAGTGCGAGCTTAAAAGAAAAGTGCCAAGTAATCGAATTCTACGGCAATACACGACTCAAGTGCATGAAAGATAGCGCAATTATAAAGCAAGTACGACAATTCAATGAGAACTCCCAGGTCAGTGCAGTTCTAAAGGTGCTGGATGCTGGAGAACATTAATCAGTGAATAGAAAACACAACACGTAAGCTATTATTTTGCTCTGCATACACTGTTAGAAAAAACGGCGAAAAAACGGTCCCACCGGCATCCTAGTGGCCGGTCACCCCGTGAACATAAACTGTTTCGCCGTTTTTATCAGCTGTTTTACGGATTTCTGGTGTTAAATTGGAATAAAAACGGTGCAACGGTGTTTCTTTTCACGTGCCGACCGGCCCCTGAACTGCCGGTAATACCGTTAACGGTCATTTTTCTAACAGTGTAGAAGTACAAGTCAAATAAATTTCGAAATTATCATGTGAAGCTACCTAAAAAGCATCGAGGAATTGATTGCGAGGCTGCTTTTCAATGAAAAACTCGCTGTCATTAAAAATAATAAATTGGTTTATAATGATTTATAATGAAATGCTCAAATTAAAATTACACCTGACACAAAAATTAAATTACTAGGTGTACAAGAAGAATCTTGGCTTATTGAGAAATCACGTAAATGCCTGGCACGCCATCTTGTGATCCGCCAGCGAATGACGTGGCTAAGCACCTTGTGTGATGTAGACTTAGATATGTTATCATAATATCAAAATCAAACTCATTATGTTCTACTCAAAGACAGCATCTTCGAGGATATGAAGGTCTCGTCAAAGTCTCATTACGAGATCACATCAACGTAAACAGCCATCAAATACAATTCATTAGGAGTTGGAGATAAACTTCAATTGGATAACTCGTTGATTCAGGAGCGAGTTCCTTTTCAGGTTGAAACCTGCCAAGACGGGCTGTCACTGACACAAAGCTTCTCACGGAAGCCCTTCCCGGTGCTTCATGTCTTGAAAAAACAACCTCGCGCTCAAAATTTTGTTCACAATACATTGGAGTTCAAACGCTCGAGTTTCCTTGGCTTTTCGAAAAAAAGTGCTGTAACGAAAGAGTTACTTCGAGAGGGGGGCAATGTGGGGGGGGGGCAAAAAATACGACGGTGGCAAGTAAGGACAGAAATTTGTTGAACAGGTGCAAGTGCGTGACAAAAATTGTGAAAAAAGTGTGCAAATACGTGACATTAGCGTTCTCTTACTGCATCAAAGCCAAACAAAATCTAATAATTTGAAATAAAGTAACACGGCCGCTAATTACTTCCGCCATATTAATTCAACGAAAGAATTGCAAGAGATAATAATTCATTTAAAAGTTGCTTATTAATACTTATGTGATCACTTTATTGCTCGAACAATTCACTTACATGTTTCGTTACTTTAATTTAGTTACTCTAATTTAATTTAGTTACATTAACTTCAAACTACGGAGTAATTAACAGAACCGCATTACCTGCTCCTACACATCACCCACACACACATGCATCAGCTTCACCTGTGCCAGCCGTAGGACGGCCCGTACGTAGGATAGTAGGACTCTGGCTGCTGTCCCTTATAGTATACATCAGTGGGCTCTTGGCCCTGACTGTAATACCCTTGCTCTCCTTCTCCTTCCACTCCTTCAGCGCCTCCGCCAGTTTCTGGGGCAAAGTAACCGTCCTTGGTTTGAGGGAAGCCCTCAACGTACGGAGCGTAGGCGTACCGGTCCAGGTGAGGGCGGGGACGAGAGGGGTAGTGGCTTGGTGAACCGTACGGTATGGCCTAAAATAGGAGAATAATTGATCATTTCGTACACAATAACAGATTCTGTAAAAAAATTATTATAGCTGACAAAGAATGTACTAGACATCAGTCATTCACAGAAGAGACATTGAATGAAAATCTATTGTAGTTGACTTATATTAAACTTAACCCCTTAGCTTGAGCTTGCACCTTCCAGGGGTGTTGTTTCTGGAACGTGAAAGCCCTAAGGAATTCTGACGAGCTACGAAAAACATTGGATGATGCTACCGTAAGTCTTGCAATAATTAAATAGTAATACGTGTTCTGTATCTATAAATACTGCTTAGGATCTTAGAATTTATTATTATTATTACATTATTATTGCTATCTTCCGCAACGAGCAATAAATAAAGCATAAAATAATATATTAGAGCACAGACCATGCACGTTTACATTATATTTATTATTAAATAGATACGCTTGCCGAAATACCATAAACTCAAAATATTCATTTAATTTTCATTAATTTAAACACAAAGATGTGTACAGAAGGCAATAGTACCTTGTCTACACGTAGGTAAGCTCCGTTGTTGGTGTCGGGGTAGTAGTCGGCGATCTCGTTCTGCGAGGCCTGCCCTGACGCGCCCCCGGGGCCCGACGCGCGCTGTGGCAGCGGCTTGACGTAGACAGGCTGCGTCTCTGAGCGGTCCAGCAGACGAGGGAGAACGTTGTCTGCATCGTGGCCGCCTTGCTGCATCGTCCTGAAATTGACACGTACAAAATTGAATTATAGACATATCATTGACAATAGACAATATTTATATAATATTGTCTCGCCGGCATTTGGATTATAAGAGAAATGAAGGATTAATTTTAAATATTCCTAGGAGAATTCAATGTGACAAGACGATGCTTAGGATAGAGACTATATGTATTCTAATGAATCAAACAATTTTGTTCATTACCAAAAAAGTGACGTCCGTAAAAATTTTTGTCCCTCACCTCAGTCCGTCAATGAGAGCAGCCAACCGCTTGAGCTGTGCTGAATTGTACTGCGGTTTTGTGTCACCGTAGCGATCCTTGCGCATCACATCCGCAGCTACGGCCATGAAGTCTTTGCGGAGGAGAGGGTCGATGTCGTCAGACACGAAGGAATCGTCAGCGCTGTTCGCGTTTGTTTCAAAACCTGCATCTTTCTTGGTCTGCTTGGTCACTTCGCGTTCAGCTTTTATGTAGTCGTTGAACTCGTTCAAAAAGTTGCGGAGGTTGAAACGCTGCGACTTGGAAGACCGTTTGCGGTACAAAGGGTTTGGTTTTCCCATACCTCGGCCCCTGCCATAGGCGGGACCGTATCCTGGGTCTTCGTAATCGCTGTACTCTGGTGTACAAGTAATAATTCCACAGTCAATGGGTTTAAGATATGTTTCATCTCTATAGTTGGTTTAAAAATGAGCACTTCGACGGATAAAAAATCGAGGCCAAGGGAGGATGGGGTTTTCTCAAGTTATATAATTTAACTATTTAATTATTTGTACGTATTTTTACTAACTTTTATTACCAATCACTGAAAATGTTCCAAAATTATAGCCTTATGCTTGTTCTATTCCAAGTGAATCAGTGGCAGTAATCTCGAAAAATTTTAATATGCAATCACGAATCAATATTGTTTCTTGTGTAACGACCATTGATTTCGTAGAATCGGTGCAAAATTCCAGACCATGTGTGGACCGAACTCCTCGGAAAATTAAAAATAATAACTCCCGCATTCATTATTTCCTTTTGAAACGTAGATACCGTATAGAAATCATTACGATTTAATTGAAAAAATTACGTTCTTTCACGGGGTTCAATGCAGTTCTGATTTCAATCGATTAACACGAGTTTTCATAAATCATAATAAATTAGTTGGGTTTGGATGAGTTGCTCAAATAAAAATGTTAATTCAGCACTTGTGACCGCTTGGAGAGTGCGCAAATTGTCGAATAAAAGTACGCCTATTTGAAATATGCATTAAACTCTTTGACAAATTAGCAGCCAAAAATGATTCTATTGAAAGCGTTGATGAGTCGCGATAAATTGTGGCAAAACTCAATCATTAAAGTGAATTTTTCGGCGTATGAATCCACAGCTCAAAATGACACTCAAAGGACGTTCTTTGAAGCATTGATCGCATTACAGTCTTATGCCAGATTTCATTGCATTATTTAATTTCAAAATACGCAAAATTTGGAATAAAAAATAAAATGCGATCTTACCTGGAATCGGGAAATTGAACTTCTGCTTCAGATATTCCTTGTTGCTCATCATGCGGGGCTTCGAGGAGTCCTTGTCTAGAGGCTTGAATTCAATTTGCGTTTCGCCTTCAATGCCGTCGATAATTGGCTGATCTGCCATAAATTCAACGCCAGGGTAAAGCCGGTCATGAAGTAGACCATTCTTCTCAGCCGCTGCGAGGTATGCATTGTACTGGGGTGATAGCTTTTCAACAGCAGCCTCATATGGGTTTTTGGTGTGGAACTGATTTCGAGGAAAATCATTCGGTGCTAATTTATTGGCTTTCGGGAAGCTGCGGCCGCTCAGCAGCTGTCGGTCGATGGGGTTTACGTCAAAGTAATTACCGCCCATTGCTGCCTTTGGGGCACCAAGCTCCTCCTGAAGAGGTGATCCAATGCTCCCGCTCAAAGATGACGACTTCATTCCGGACTGCCCAAGAAAAGCCTTCGGTGTCTTGTCATTTGATCCTCCTTGCGTTGTTTTAAGAGGAATTTTCAGCTCGTGCGGTTTTTCTTTTGCCTTGTCAGATGAAACGGGACTGTCTTTGAACAAGACACCAGGAGCAGAGTTGTGTGACTTCGATTGGCCAGTCTTCAGAGCAGACGCATTGCCACGATGCAAGGGGGGAAGCTAGCAAAAAAAATTTTTTTAATAAACTGCAACGGAAAATCTTGACCTGAACTTCAAGTTATCAAAGTGAGTAGTACTTTTCTAATGGTCACGTAGCACATTTTCCCGAAGTGCTAACAAATTACGACCAACAATGCTGCCAGGATTCATTAAACGGCCTGATAGAGCTAAGTGCAGACAACGACTGTGAGGGGAAACTACGGGATTGATCGAAAAAAAACCTTGCTGGGGTGATCAAGGTTCAATATTTCTGAGTGCCTCATGCGCGTAATAAACAAAAACCAGGAAGTCTGGCAAGAAGGCATTCGTGCGTCGCTATAACGAAACGTTCAACAAATGACGCAAAGGTGGCCGAACTTTCGTCCGGTGTCCTAATATCGCGATCAGTTTTTGCTCCATGGAGTGACCAAGACACAAGCGTCCCGCAGAATTTTTTTTTAGTCTAGAGATGCCCCATAAGGAACCTTACCGCATATCAGTATTTCTTCTTAGGATTAATTATTCTCTGTTATATCACGTTGCTTGAGAGATATTTGTGCGACAAACAATGCGGTCTGATAGGTTTAAATATAACTTATTGTGCGAGAGAACTGAAGCCATTATGCATATTTTCAATTATAACTAACTATACGTTTTTTAACGATTCAGCGGACGAAGTGAGATTTATACCACAGTATCATGATTATATGTTAGGTTTTAATGATATAATTCGTACACAGAAGCTCGGCAGTAGTTGGAGAATGGAGATCATATATAAATTATGGTTAGTCCATTGGGGGACAAGTGTTGGAAGCGTCATTCCTACATCTTGTCTTTCCTCATTCATAGAAAAATGTTCATGATAATGATATATTTTGCAATGCAGCAAGTTTAACATAGGTTATATCCGCTGGTATGCAATTCACGCCCGATATTCCTACATCTTGTCTTTCCTCATTCATAAGAAAAACGTTCATGAGAATGATATATTTTGCAATGCAGCAAGTTTAACATAGGTTATATCCGCTGGTATGCAATTCACGCCCGATCTGCTGCAGCTCTCGCGAACGGCAGGTGAAAGATTTTATGTTTTTCACATTTTCAACTGACTCAAACGGTTCTAAATAAGGCACAACGATGCGTTTTCAGATAATTTCTCCTGTATGAGTAAAATTTTAAAGGAAAGTTTCCGAAAAATGAATGAGATTTTACGAAAATCATCACAAGTTTAGTCAGAGTAAGTTAAAGGAAGTTAAGATAAGTCTTGGGAAATGCAGCATTATCAGATGTCTTATTGATATTGGACTACAAATTTGTTTCGAAATTTCAATCGAACAAACATTAATAATTTTACCAGAAAAACATTAATCACTCTTATATTAAAATTGATTCAATTTCGAATCAAACCGATTGGGAAAAAAATCATTATACATTTATACCATATAATCAAATTTCACACATTTATAATTTTCTATCTATTTTCAAAACGCAACAAATACAAATATTATTAACATTGCTATGGCACAGACCTTTTCGTGGTCCAAGGGCAGTTGACGGAAGGGTGCCGGCAGAAGCTTTCCGCCTTCGATTGCCGGAAAGTAGAACTCGTCCGCGTAGTCGGAGTGCGGATCCGTGGCCGACGGAGTGAACCGCACGATCGCCAAATCGCGCGGATTCACAGACTCCTGGGATTGATAGAAATTCAGCTTGTGATTCTGATGTTAAGAGTAGAATTCTATTTTCATACTGAGTTAAATATAAAATTCAAGCTAATATTTGATTCTGATGTTAAGAGTAGAATTCTATTTTATCCCTAAGGAAAATATAAAATTCAAGCTAATATTCTGTGAGAAATTCACTCCCGGAAATTTCCCCTTTTTCGTGGTAAAGTGTGACGAGGCTTGGAAACGTAAGCTAACCAACACAATGCTAAATTATTCCAACTTTAAATGGGGAAATTATGATTGTATTCTCCAATTTTTTTATTGGTTGTTAGGCGGATGGGGGAAAATTACACCGGTTTAGTAATTTTTAAACGTCGGTGACACTCATCTGATTCAAACCAACATTTTGAAATTAATTTGTGTATATAATAATATATCGGGTACAACAAATTGCAAGAACGTTGGATAAAAGGCAATTATAAAATTGCAGCCTATAACTCATTTCAAAAAACCTATAAATAAGTGCAATGTAACGTTTCGAAGCATCGTGATTTTGTTGAGATAGGAGATGTGGAAAATTGGCCAAGCTATTCATGAGAGAAATTCATCAATATTCACGAAGGGCTCAAGTTTAAACTTGGTGTAAAAGTTCTATACAGTTTCCAAGGTCATGCGTGGAGGTAACTTTCATGCAATGTTTAAGTTAGCTAGAGAATTTTTATATTTTTTATTTTTCAAACATTTGATATTATAATATCGATCATCCTCCCATTAATTTTTTACTGCAAATTTCTATACCCCTCTGCAATGTTGCATTCCTCGTATAACCTGTAAGATAAACTAGCCAACTTCTAGTAGCGTGCAAGTCTACGCGTCACTAATTTGTTATTAGTTACTGTAGGGATCTTAGCTGAATATTGAGGTGTACTGTAGGAAACGGAAGGAGAATAAGAACAATAGTAACTAATGTGTGGGACGTAGAATAAGTGAAGGTGTTGACGATCCCGTAGCAGTGTAAGAATTCAGAGCTGACTTGTTGTGGGACCAAAGCAAGGACTAGTTTAGTGAATTCAGACAACTGCAGAGGTATGGGTAACTGTCGATATTTTTCAATATTGTATTTATTTGGTGTGTTGATACTATGTGAGATATCTAGTAGGGAATTACCCGACTAATTGTAAATTTGATTTTGTTCATGTAGGGAGAAGTCAACCCGGATAGAAGATCACAAGAGGCTATCAAGAAGATTCAGTGTTGTGCATATATAAATTGTTACTGTGTTGTGAGGAACATCTACTATGCTGTGCCCTAGCTTATGAAAGAAGATAGTTCTGTACCCTATAACGATGCCCATATGTTCACGTTAACTTGTTCGATGTTCTTAATTTAAGTGTTCATTTTTCAATAAAAAATATTAAAATAATTGTGTTAACTCGAGATCCTTATTTAACATCGGCACGAAAGATCATTACAGTTACTATATTAGTTACTAACAAGTTATTTGTCTTAAGTGAGTTCATTCATTCAAAAGTTCAGCAATGTCAACAGAAAATTAATTGAACCTATTTCCTTCCGCCTTGATCGAAACATCTTCCTGCCAATTTCAATTTTCAATTTTTTATGTTTTTTTGGTGAATAGATCAAGTGTCAAGTTGACCGCTTCAAACTCCAAATAAATTATGAACGTTGTTGATAACTTCTTTCTAGTCGACTGACTTTGAAATAACGTTGATTATATGTTAATAACGGTGGAGCAACGTATATTCAATGTTATTTCAACGTTGTTTAATCACCGTCGTGTAATCAACGCTACTTCAACGTCGTTTAATCACCGTCGTGTAATCAACGCTACTTCAACGTTGTTTAATCACCGTCGTGTAATCAACGCTACTTCAACGTTGTTTAATCACCGTCGTGTAATCAACGCTACTTCAATGTTGTTTAATCACCGTCGTGTAATCAACGCTACTTCAATGTTGTTTAATCACCGTCGTGTAATCAACGCTACTTCAACGTTGTTTAATCACCGTCGTGTAATCAACGCTACT